AAAGAAATGATTGTTTCTTTACGAAGACGCCTGACGCACGGTTTCTCTACGATAACATAAATAAAAACATACAAATCTCTCGATTAAAGGCTTTAGGTGCAAGACCATCATGGTATAGGATATTCCCCCCTAATCCGTTTTATAAACAAGAGTCATTGGGGTATTAGAGTGTCCAAGATAAACACCAAGAAATAGAGGGAAGGAAAAATCTATGGCCAAACCATGTCGTATAATTATTTTCGTGAGTCACACAGAACATTTGACAATGCGGGTTTTGAAATAGATCTAGAATCAAAACAAATAATCTACGATACAAGGTGGAACTTTAAAAAAAAAATTAGGCTTAGCTGACACCAAATATTTTCTGATACCAGCAGTGTGCAGAGCACAGATGGGCCATTATGTAACTTATAATCTTAAATAAGAAAAAGGAATCCTTATGAATAAAACCAGCAGGAAATGATTACTTCTGTGGTGGTAGGGACCAGGTTTCGAACCTGGGATTTCTATGTGTTTTTTTATGTATTGCATTCCTGTAGTTTTGTTTTTGTAAAACATCACATCGTCATGTGTCGACCTTATACTCTAGCAACCAAAAGTATTTATTCTCATTCGACTCACGTTTTGGCTTTCAAAGAATCGAGGTTTGTAGTCATCACGTTATATGTATAACAATGAGGTCTGTGCCAGAAAGATCTGATGCCTAAACAGACACCTTTTTTTTCTTTCAAAAGCATTCCAGTAGGTTAAATCTTTTTATCACCAGCACTTGACTAAAGCGCCATCTTTTTTTTTACTAACACTGAAATATATCAACATTTTATTTCGCCAACAATCGACCAATCACTAAATTATTTTGATATTAAAAAGCCTCTCTTCAAAAAAATACACTTTTGAGTTAAATTTTAAAGTTCATCGAAAGGTTTTGCTTAGAAACTAAGACCTGCAAAATAAAAATCTTAACAAACAGATCCAAAAATTAGCTTTCTAGTTTACTTAATCCTTCTTTTAGTTGGCACACAAGTTGCATTATTTTCGAAACATTATTCAGCTCTATGGCTTTATTAACGTTTGAGAGTATAATACAAAAAGTCAGTTAGCAAACATTTTATGCAGTAAATATCACATTAAATAATGAAGCAGAAAACTTTTTCATTAATTGAACAGAAACTAGACTGTGTACTGTGTATGACAACTTCCTAAAGAGCTGTCCATACTTGTTTGATACTGAGTCAGTCCCACCGTGTAAGGGTGTCTGGTGTCCATACTTGTTTGATACTGAGTCAGTCCCACCGTGTAAGGGTGTCTGGTGTCCATACTTGTTTGATACTGAGTCAGTTCCACCATGTAAGGGTGTCTGGTGTCCATACTTGTTTGATACTGAGTCAGTCCCACCGTGTAAGGGTGTCCATACTTGTTTGATACTGAGTCAGTTCCACCATGTAAGGGTGTCTGGTGTCCATACTTGTTTGATACTGAGTCAGTTCCACCGTGTAAGGGTGTCTGGTGTCCATACTTGTTTGATACTGAGTCAGTTCCACCGTGTAAGGGTGTCTGGTGTCCATACGTGTTTGATACTGAGTCAGTCCCACCGTGTAAGGGTGTCTCGTGTCCATACTTGTTTGATACTGAGTCAGTACTACCATGTAAGGGTGTCTGGTGAATAACAAATTTTACAGTTAAAACGATTTGAGCTCTAAAAAATTTATTTCACATCTTTTCGGCTCTCGTCTTCCTGATGAATTGTTTCAGAACAAACCCTGTGATTTACTCCCTCTTCTTGGTGGATCGTTTTAGAGCCAATCGTGAAGTTTACGACTTCTCGTGGTTGAATAATTCATAGAAAACCTCATGTTTTTTCTGACATTTTAGTGTTGTTTGAGTTGCTATAAAACGCCAAGGAAGACGTAATCTAAAACATTGGTAGAACGGACATTTTTTTCTGGAGTTCAAATCGTTTTAGCTTAGAGTGAGTTGCGAAAAGTTTGATTGACTACCATATTATAATGCCACCATGGCTGAAAGGGCGATAATATTCGAACCCCGATGCGCAAATTGCGAGTCAAGTACCCTCCGCCAGGACATGCTAGGCCCCCTCCGCGAAGAAGAGCTCGGTTTGTTTCGGGAAATTGCCCAAATATACTGTTCGCGCCTAATTTTGAACTCATAAGCTAGAGGAAAGGAAACTATTCAACAGTACTCACCGCTAACTTTTGGGCTACTCTGATCAAAAAGTGGGATTTTACCATGACTCTTATAAGGTCTCCACTGCCCCAAAGTGAGAACACGATTTTTTTAGGGCAACAAGACGCGAACCAAGGACTTTCGGATCCACAGTCTGGTACACTAACTATTCAGCCACGCCCGACCCAGAAAGGTTCGGATTGTATGCCTTATTCTCATATCGCTGAAGTTTCTTCACAAAGTCCGGTCGTGGACTAGTGGTTAGAATGCCTGGACTGTGAATCCAAGTAGTCGTGGTTCACGACCGGTTGCTGCGAAAACGCGCTCCGCACTTATGGTCGTGGTTTCTCTATAAAAGTAATAGTAAAATTAAACTATTGAGTCAGACAAAAGTATTCCAAGCGTTGGCGGTGGGTATTTTTGACTACTTGTCTTCCCTCTAGTCTATTAGTTCAAAATTATTGACAGTCATTCCCAAAAAACGTGCGTAGCGTAGCTTTCCAGTACATGTTTGCTTTTTGTTTTATTTTTTCAATGTGACTTTCAGCTTTGCCTTAATATTCTCTAGTATACATTGCTAATATGTTTTAACTTGTAATCTATATGCTAAGCCTAAAAATGTTCGAATGTTAAAATTGACATTTTTGTACTTATGTTAAACTACCAATAATGAAAGTTTACTAAAAATTAAAAAGTCTTACCAGATAATCTTCAAGAGTTTTATCTTTTCTTATCTGATTAAATTCGACTGATTAACTGCTGAGAAAGTGTAACAACTCTAACGTTTTTCAATCAATCTTTCGACTGATTAACTGCTGAGAAAGTGTAACAACTCTAACGTTTTCAATCAACCATTCGACTGATTAACTGCTGAGAAAGTGTAACAATCTAACGTTTTCAATCAACCATTCGACTGATTAACTACTGAGAAAGTGTAACAACTCTAACGTTTTTCAATCAACCATTCGACTGATTAACTGCTGAGAAAGTGTAACAACTCTAACGTTTCTCAATCAACCATTCGACTGATTAACTGCTGAGAAAGTGTAACAACTCTGACGTTTTGAAATCGATTTTCTAGATACGGCAAGAGCTGACATCATCAGAAATAATGGCGTCGTTACTAGGAGCTGTGTGTCACGACCTTGACCATCCTGGGGTCAGCCAGCCTTTCTTGATAGCCACTTCTAACCATCTAGCCGCTTTGTATAAGGTAGGTTTTCGTTTTCGGTGTTTTTTAGTCAAAATGGCCATCATCTTTTTTTATAATCTCTGAATAGAAATGTTACACAAACTTTTCCTTATTCCATATGCAGAGAATCAAAAATAAATAAAACTTCAATAAATTCACCTCTTTAGTTATATCCTCTAGGTGGCAGCAGTGCTGTGGTCATTAGAATTAGTAATCGTGAAGGGTTTCTTTGTGTTTTGGAATTTCGCGCAAAGCTGCTACACGAGGGTTATCTGCGCTAGCCGTCCCTAATTTACCAGGGAAAGACTGGAGGGAAGGCGGCTAGTCATCACCACCCACCGCCATCTCTTGGGCTACTCTTTTACCAACGGATTGACCGTCACTTTATAACGCTCCCATGTTTGGTGGGACGGGGATTCTAACCCGCGACCCTCAGATTGCCCTAACCACTTGGTCATGCCGGGCCCAATTGTGAAGGGAAAGATAAACCTGGTTGTTGTAGTAAAGTGTCCCAAGTGTTCTTGGGTCAGACAGGCACACCTGCTCTGTGGTAAAGCAATCTGTACCACTTGGTCATGCCGGGCCCAATTGTGAAGGGAAAGATAAACCTGATTGTTGTAGTAAAGTGTCCCAAGTGTTCTTGGGTCAGACAGGCACACCTGCTCTGTGGTAAAGCAATATGTACTTAGTGATACATTGACTTGTATGATTTTAGCAAAAGAACATATATTTGTATTTTATCATCGCTAACCGTATTTAGCTGAGATTTTATTCTACCAATCACGTTTAGTTCACATTTTATTCCACCAATCACGTTCAGTTCACATTTTATTCTACCAATCACGTTCAGTTCACATTTTATTCTACCAATCACGTATAGATCATATTTTATTCCACCAATCACGTTCAGTTCACATTTTATTCTACCAATCACGTTCAGTTCACATTTTATTCTACCAATCACGTATAGATCATATTTTATTCTACCAATCACGTATAGATCATATTTTATTCTACCAATCACGTTCAGTTCACATTTTATTCTACCAATCACGTATAGTTCATATTTTATTCTACCAATCACGTATAGATCATATTTTATTCTACCAATCACGTATAGTTCATATTTTATTCTACCAATCACGTATAGATCATATTTTATTCTACCAATCACGTATAGATCATATTTTATTCTACCAATCACGTATAGTTCATATTTTATTCTTCCAATCACGTTTAGTTCACATTTTATTCTATCAATCACGTATAGATCATATTTTATTCTATATTCTTTATTCTATTTTTATATACAAACTTCATATTATATGATTGGTTGATGATCGTAACTTAGATTTTTATA